CCCCGGGTAAGTCCCGCCGTCTGGGGGCGGGCGGGCTCGCCGAGCGGCGGGGGGCGTCGATCGGAGGAACCCGGCGCACGCAGGCAGGTGCAAGCTCGGAGTGCGCGCACCTAAAGCAGGACTTTTCACTCCAGGTAGGACGGGGTGGTTGTGTACCGCCCTGGCCGCCCGACCTGCCGGGCGGTGATCGCTGCGGGCCGGCTGCCGCAGCCCCTGAAACGCCAGTGTGGGGCTGTGTAGGGCTTGGGCAGCGGGCTCGCTGCGTGCCGTGTGTCCCCGCCGAGGCACTGCCGGCACAAGGCCTCGGAAAACGCCGCAGCCCCTCGCAGAGCTGCGCTGGGAGCTGGGGAAGCGATTTGGGACCTGCCAGCGCCGGTAGCTCTTCCCTGCGGGTCCTCTGCCGCCTGCAGCACTTAGGAGCTTTAAATGTGGGGGTGCTGAGCCAAAGAGGAGTCCTGCCCTGGGCTGGTTGCGTGCGTAGGTTGTAATTAGTTGCAAGGAATTCAAAGCACCTTACAAGAATTGTACCTGCTTGAATTGCTCTGCTCAGTGCTCAACATCATCGGACTCATTTTCGAAACACAATTAGCTGTAACTGTCAGCAAATAGTGAAGTTCAGCAAGTAAACTGTACCATCTTCTGCTATAAGAATGTATAGAAATACAGCTTACTGCTGTTAGGTGGCAATGCATAATCTCAAAAGTTAGTAAGAGACTTAGAGAAGACTTGTATCTGTTTCTAAAATAATAGTGAGTAAGAAAATTAATAGGCGAGACTAATGTAAAACAAGAGTCTCATTTAATTTAAACTTCATATAGAAGAAAATCAAGACGGGTACTCTTCTTGCCTGGTATTGTGAGATCGGCATTTTATGAGTCTGACAGGAAATAATTCCGTTTGTGATTGAAGAGAAATGAAGTGAGGGAAGAAGTCAAACATCAGATACTTACTTTCAAATTCCTATCTGCCTGTATCAGAATGTAAGCAGACCAGAAAAATGTGAAGGACCACATGGATCACAAAAGGAATGGGAAAAAATCTCTAAAGTGGGCAGCAAAAGAATGTATCCATTGACATATACTGATAACCTTGTGAGATACGGATATCTAGACATACCATAGCTGGTCTGAGCACCTTTGGGCCTTTGCTTATGCTCAAATAGGTAGCTTTTGATTTTAGATTGATTCATTAAACAATGTAATACCTTCGTGGATCTGAGTCAAATCTGGCAATTCAACAATGTGCAGAATGCCTTATTCTGTCTATCTCACAGGTGTAAAAGGTACTTTCAGCAAATCTGTTCCACTGCCATACCACTGGTGGATTATATAATTCAGTATATTATACAAATATAAAATATATTCCAGTTGATCTTTGATGTCAACACTGAGAGCCAAGTCAATGGATGAGATGATGTAGCATGGTTAAGGATCTGGAATTTTTTCTTTGTAATGATATCAGCTTTCAAAACTATTTCAGTGTATTTTGAGAAGAGTTCAGGATATAATTCAAATAAGTGAACATTTCATTTTTGCCATTTTTCTGACTGTTGTAAATATTTTGATACTAGGTATGAGCATTCTGCAGAGGAAAGAGGACATCTTCTCAGACTGTAAAAAGAAATTTTGGAATACATATAAGGTGAGGCAAGCTAGTCACTTATCACCCACTTAAGAAAAAAAAAAATAGATCAAGTATTTGAAATATTGCTTCCTTTGACAGCATTTCTCTCACTTCATTATTTGATTATGTGTAGGAAGCTGTAAGTACCAGCAGTCATCTGAAGTCACGGTAGTTTGCAGCAGGCACTGCTGCCAAATGGATGAAATTATGCCATATAAAAAATGTACAATGTTTATATACTTATCACTTGCACCCAGCTCTGTTTGAATGAGAGCCCTACAATACAACACTGATTAAGACTGTACTACAGTTTATCTTAAGAAGTATCCATACACCACTGTTTAGTTATTAATACTGTTTACAACACCTACATGTACACCTCTAAAAATAATTTGATACACAAACATCTTTTTTAGCAATCAATTTCAGCCTGTATTTTTCAATGCAGTCTTCTCACTTTCAGAAACACGACCCCTTGTTTTAAGATTATGTTGGTATAAATAGCTGGTTTTGGTTTGCCTTTCTACATACACAGGAAAAAATAACCCATGCTACTTCAGAGCTGCATAAATTAAGAATTTTAAAGACTTCTCAGGCACAAGAAGAAAGATAGATTAGTAGAAAAAAATACAATAGAAGGAGAAACTGTGATGTAATGTGAATTACTCTCCACACTGTGGGACTATATGAGTAGGATAGAAAAGGATAATTTTCATTCCTATGGAGTATGATTCTAAAACCAGTGACCATTACATCCTGTCAAAACATACGGTTTCTATTGACATGTTCTATCAGTAAATTATCATTGTTTTTTGAAAAAAATAGCCTTACATGCAGTGTAACAAGAAGGAGCATTTCAAGTGTGAAATAAATAGCATTCAGTGATATTTTTCATTCATGGTTGAGACAAATGTTCAGACACTTAAACATTTGTTCATCCATCTGGTAAATATGGTTATGTATCTGGTGTCAGGTGACTATGAAGACTTAACTGTGCCTAGAGTTTTGTATTTAAAATTAGTTAGGATAATGTGTTTGAGAAACTCCCAGTCTAGTGGCTCATGAAGAAGTTTAATATTGCAGCCTTAATTTAAGCAATTTAATTTACATTTAAACAGCTTTTATTCACTTTACTCAAATATGCCATAGTCTTTGCTAAATCTGGTAACAAAAATGAATCTTTGTGGCTGAAGTCTAAGAGTAACAAATTATTCATTTTCATTTCAGACAGGACTGATGTACTGGCCTTTTGTGCAGGTGAGTTTTTAGTGTAACTCAAGTTAGCCTTTCTTTCTCATAAAACCTAATCCAAAACATTTTTAGTATATCTAATCTAGTCAGAAGTCAGTGGAAGTTGCTGGATGTGTAAGTGTAGGACTTAACAATGCCTGGAGCACTAACTGAGCTCTCTTTCCTTCCAACACAGCTTTCAAACTTCATTTTGGTCCCTGTTTACCTGCGAACAGCCTACACTGGGCTCTGTGGCTTTGTCTGGGCTACCTTCATTTGCTTTTCCCAACAGAGTGGAGATGGCACAGCAAAGTCAGCATTTATGTGGCTCCAAAGAGAGAAGGTCAATGCAGATGAAGAATCATCAGAGAAATAAGAACTTTAGTTCTGAACACATTCTAAATTGTTAACTGAGTTTATAAAAGTCAGTAAACCACACTGAAGCCTCATTGCTGTGTTCCGAATAATCAGTCATCTCAACATTTGTCGGTTAGTATAAGCAGTGGAACAGTTTGTCCTTGTGCCTGTTTATTTTTCATAAAAAAGGCCAATTGTATATTGACATTTAATTATTTTCATGCTGCCAGCCCATCTCTTCTGGGAACAACTGACTTACAGGGCAGCCCAAGCATTTGCACCTCATGTCAGACCACTTCGCTGGGGAGAAATATTAACTGTAAGTTAATTTTCAAGCAAATCATAATTGCTAGAAAAAAGGGAATAGAACATGAAAGCATCAGTTGTTGGACTTGACAATTGTTATCAGTGCAAGACTGCTTTTGCAGAACAAAATCTAATGGGTTTCTTATCTAAGAAGTGGCATTGAATTTGTTTTTTTGAGAGAAAACTGAAGTGGTGTATTTGTAGGGACCACTTCTTTGTAGGGGCAAACTTGCTTTATTCTACACAAAAACTATACAGCAAATTCATTAATTCATTGAATGTAAAAACCTGAAATATATCTGT